GAGTTACAAAAACAGTGGGTTATGTCTGTGAAGGTAAACAGCTGGGAAATAAATCGCATGTTTATTTTAGATCTGTGTGGCAGCAGCAATATACAGTAAATAAATCAATAAATGCTCTGCTCTGTCGTCTCCTCTGAGGCTGGGACTCTAAACAGTGTTCTGTGCTCGTCTGTGCAGCCAAACACAGAACAGTTAGTGTGTTTTGCTCAAACTATCACCATGGCTTTAGAGCTGATACACCGTTGTCGCTTGTGAAAACACGATAACTGTGCCGTGGGTGTAAACTCACAGATTAAGGGGCGGTAATATTATAATGAGATCCATTTGCCTCGTCACCAAGCGAGCGAAATCAGACGCGCTGGTTTTCTCAGATGCTTGCAGAAAAAGGCGTCCCTTACGGGTTTAATCTTTTTCACGTTTCCTTGGTAGTTAGATGCACCGGAGACCTGATTATAGCACTTACAACCTGGAAAAGTCAGATTTTCATGATATGTCACCTTTAAGCTACGATCAGAATAAATTCCTCAATGCGCAACAAAAACACATGAATTTGTCACATTGTGTTGATTGGATAACTGGACTAACCAGCAGACCAATCACACACCATCTCATATACTGTTATAGTCGTTCTGAAATGCCTGAGCTTTTAGTGCCACATTAAAAAAATTTTAAAAAGTCAATTTCTCGCACAGAAGCTACAGCAACAGTGTTTGTTTTTCTTCTTTATTTTCAAAATATTACAACTTTAATCTTGTATTTTTGTGACTTAGATCTGGTGATTTTGACTTTAAAGATGTAATATTTTGAGAATGAAGTCAAAATTACCAAAGTCACAGCAATATGAGAGTAAAGTTGTAGAAATACGAGATTAAAGTCGTAATATTTTGAGAATAAAGTCATAGTATTGTGAGATTAAAGTTTATATATTTAGACGCTAATGTGAGCAATAACATGCAATGCATGCAGCAACTTTTTAGTATTTTAAAGGGATCATATGATGTTGCTATCCAGTGCGTTGTGATTGGCTGAATACCTCAAGCATGTGACGGAAAGGTTATGCCCCTCACCATACTGTGATGCCCTGTCCGGCCGGAGCAACGAGACAAAAACATTAAAACCCATTACAAACGAAGCATTTGTTGCATCCAGTGGGGACATAATTACGGATTATAATGACTTATACTGTCTTTTTACGCGTTGCATGGTGGCAGCGCTCCTCGAGCCTCTGGCGCTCCTGCAGGAGCTGCGTCATGTCCTCCTGCTGCTTCTTCTTCTCCTGCTGCAGCTGAAACACCTGGAGCTGCAGGAGCTGCTGCTCGCGCTGCGCTTTATGAGACGCCTTCTGCATCTTAGCCGCACACGTCTGTCTGAACTCCTCCATCTCCAGCTCCGTGCGCTTCTGACGCTCCTCGTACACCTGCACAAACACACACAGTTTGTCAATTAACACCAAAAACGGTAACTATATTAGCATCCACACTAACGATGCTGGAGCTCTTTAAAACCGGATGGATTCTGATTGGCTGTTAATGTTTTTATCGTTCTTCAGCTGAAAAAATAATCCCTCTGAAAGTGATTCCAGTGATATTGTTCCTCTGTGACGTTATCGTTATAATTGTAGCGTGTTGTTTTTGTACTAAAAGTAATTTCCAGATTGTCGTAGCAAAGTCAGAATGACCTCCTCTCCTAGGTTCACGAAACGCTCGTCCATAAAATGCATTGCTGTTCTGTTGTAAGCGATCTTAAAGGTTCCTAAATGCATCTACTTCCGGAAGGCCAAATAAAGTGCTTTTGCTTTCGTCTAGAAACACACAGCGTCTCCCTGACATGCTGCTTCAACACTAACTGTGTTACTGAAACCACGCCTTCTTTCTTTGCGTGCACATTTGGGCGCATTATGCTAATATTTCCACATAGTGAGGTAGATATGTGGGGGCGTGTTAGAACGAGCCGTTTTAGGGGGGCGTGGCAGAGTCTTAACTTTGATAAAGAATATCTCTTTGGTTTTGAGACTTTAGTCTTTGCAACTTCAGGGATCTTATCTATGCACGATCAGCTTGTAACACTCCAAAGAGAAAGAACAACTTGAAATCGCATCATATGACCCCTTTAAGGATTAATCCAAATTTTACAAACTCTGATTTAAGACAAAACAGTATTTGAAAATTGTGAATATGGGCTATTTGAACAGATATAAAGTACTTTTTTTTTTTACTAAGGAATTTAGTACATGAATGACAAACAATGGTACAATTTTTTTTTTATATAATAAAAAAAAAAACAATTACACATATATAATTTTTACAAATTTAATTATTTATTGTAATATATTTAATATATATATTTAAAATTACAATAAAGTATTAAATTATAAAATTTGTGTACATATATTGTGTGTGTGTGTGTGTGTGTATATATATATATCGTATTGGCCCGAATATAAGACGACCCCCCTTTTTCCTGATGTACCTTTTAGAAAAAGGCTTTTTAAAAACCAAATCTTGTTTGTTCTCAGTAAAACACATTTTGTCTTCAATTATTTTCATATTGCATATTTTTCCTATTTGAAATTTTGTTTTGAAAGTATGGTAAAAACTGGTAAACTGTACCAACAATCACATTTTAAAAATATACACTTTTTGATAAACCGGTAGCCCATCTGAATTAGGACGTTTAGGCTATCCATCTAATAGTAGCCTACCAACATCTTATTAACAGTAGAAGTTAAATCTTACTGTAGTCTTCAAATCTGGGTACCGTCTTACGTTTTAAAATCACAAAGAGAGTTTGGTCGCGATCTTTACAACACGCATTTACGTATTTCACGGTACACTCGTTTTATGGGTATTTGGCGCCACCTAGTGTTGTGGGTGTATTATTGACATGCCAAAGTCTAGACCCTGAATATAAGACGACCGCGTTTTTTCAGATGTATTTCCAAGAAAAAAACATTGTCTTATATTCGGGTCAATACAGTATATATATATATAAAAAATTTAATAGTTTCCCCCTTTATTTATTTGAAAAGGGATCGTGTACAATTTTTTACTTAAATGCAATGTACCAGATTTTGACTAATTTTCATGCACATTTTCATTTATATTATTATTATTATTATTAAAAAACGTATTTCTATGGAGGAAATGAGTGAGATGTTTACTTCTGGAACTGACTGTTGAGCTCTGAGTTTCCTCATTCCTTTTCATTTAATATTTGGTATTTTTTCACAGTAGTCTGGCTTTACTCTAAATTTTCAAGTCTTCAAGGTAAACCTGATTCTTTTCTTGATAAATCTTCCAAATAGAGACTACTTTCTGCTTTTCTCTTAGTCGAGATGAAAACCGTGTCTCACACACCTGACAGATGGCTACTTCGTTCTCGTCCAGGTTTTCTCGGAGCTGCTGCAGCTCCAGGTCTCGCTCCCTCAGTTTGTCCTCCAGGTCTCTGACGATGGCCTCGTAGGCCTGGATGGGCGGCGGGGACAGCGGGTCGGTCCGCAGGGGGCCGCGGCCGCTCAGGGAGCCCGTGCTCTTGCTGGACGAGGAGCGGCCGCTGTCGGAGTTGGAGTGTCCGTGATGTTTGCTCGCCTCACTGTGGCTGGGGTTGTACACAGGGCCATTATACGCCGGCAGGTTGGTTAAGGAGCTGCGTGCCGTGTCCGTCATGGTAAAGGACTGGCTGAACAAAGTGTTGCGAGCGCCGCTGTAAGAACTGCGCCGTTCCATCGTCGCCGGCGCAACATCCTCGTCTTCTGGAGAAAACATGCTGAGGTTTCCTTGGCTTCCCGACAGACCAGCGCTGAGCTGCGGAGACAGATACTGCACGCCGTTACGGCTCTTAGGGACCACGGGTTTGAAGGCAGTGGGTCTGATTATGGCCTGCTGAGTGTTCTGAGAGAAACAAACATCAGAAACCATGAGGAACCTCATGCATTACCATGAAGACAGTGATAAAAAGAAATTTTTTAGTTTATCTCATGTTTTTAAATGAAGAAAGTAGCCTACTCTTTGTGTATTAAACTATACTGTACATACATGCATGGTGCAGTTCTTTTTTCTAATTGTTTAAGCAACTTTATAATTATATATGGTTTATAAACATTATTTGAAACATTACGCACTTTTTTCAGAGATAGTCATGTTGTCTTATGCTTTGAATAAACGTGCATTAGTAATATTTTGCTCGATGCGCCCTCTTGTGGCCTCAGGAGAGAAGCCAAAAGCTTTTTCCCCCCTAGCTGAAGTTATCCCTTTTAAATTTGAATATAATTTGAATTTTGATAATATTTAAGTAGAAAATTCGAATTTAGTTTTTCAGTCATTTTGACAGTCGTAGTGTTCATATGGCTGATAAATGGATAATATTACATTTCTTTCCCTTTTTGTCTTAATATATTAAAAATAAAGCACTTAAAATTAAATGCAATTGTTTGAAATGTTAATTAGGCCAGTTTTATATAACACATTTCATTCACAATGCTATTTCATACAAAATGCTTTCCATAAAAGTGATTAAAAAACAATCATAAAACGTATGAAGGAAATAAAAAGAAAGCATTAAAAATTGTGTAGCCAGCACAATACAGTATAAATAAAAGTGATATTATAGGTAAAAAATTTAATTTAATGGTGTTATCAAATTATTTGTGTTAAAGACCTTTCTCATCATCTAGCTCTCATTTAATAAATAATATAAATACAATTTAATTTAATAAAAAAAGATTGATTAATTAAATGTAATAACATTTCTAATATTGTAATATTTTATATATACTTAAAATATAAATATATACTTCAAATAAAATCCTTAAAAATATATTTAAATGTTTTCACTAAAAATCCTTTCTTTATATTTTATAAAAATACATAATTTAAATTTTAAAAAATTATTTTTTTATTTTATGTATGTGTGTGTATATTTATTTATTCTGTACGCTATATTAGAAATGTTGAAATATGAAATATATATATATATATATATAAAAAATGTATTTAATTTTTTTTTAAGTTTTTGGCTTTACTATAACGCAGGGAGTGATAGGAGATAAGAAAGGGGAACAGGATTATTTTATTAATCCCTAATCCCTAATACTCACTCTTTCTAATTGTCCAGACACCGGAACCAGTTTCGGAGGTCCATCCAAACCAGTCGAACCCACATCCAAATGATTATCGTTCCAGTCACTTATCAAGTCCTCATGCGAATATGAACGAGCACCGAAGCCCTTCGCTCTGCCGGCGACGTTCCTCTTGCTGGACGGAGTCTGACTTCCCTGTGAGGTTTCGGACAGCAGGTGTCCGGAGCCCGGCGTGCCCTTGCGGAATTTGGTGCTGACCTCTATGTTTGCGCGGTCAGGATAAGTGACGTGACTCTGCATCATGCTGCTGACGGCACCCATCGCTCCCATCAGAGGAGGCGAGGCGGGATGGAGACGCAGGTCCAGGCCTGGTCCTGGATGGTCAATGGACACGGGGAGAGACTGGACCAGCGCCATGACCGATGGCACACGAACTCAGAAAACCTGCATGGAGAGAAAACACAGGTTACTGGAGACACCATGAATGTCCTGCTGGTCTTCTCATCAGAGTTCATATAGTCTAACGCATTAGTGCTCAGCAGTTCTAACTCTATGTGATAAAATCACATCATTATTACTGCTCAACATTCAAATACTTGGCTAGTTATTGCAACGTGCTTCAAAAACCCTCCACCTTCCCCAGCTCCACCTGTATAGATCTGCTACAGGATGTCATGTATGTTATATATGGGGGTTATTTCATATATGTTCAGTGTGCAGCAGCAGCAGTATTTCTTGCATGCTCACAGCAGCATGTCTGTGGATGTATTGGCTGTAGCACATCTCGGTACTTGCTCTGCCGCAGCAGCGTAGCAGATCTATTCCGCCAAGATGTTAACATTGCCATTTATATTACCATGCTAAACTCCCCAAGAGTTGTCACACTTCTTCTCACAGAGACAGACGGGCAAATCCGTCCCAAACTCAGGTCACTAGTTTAGTCATTAGTCCATTTGAGTCCGAGCCAGTTGGGCTGTTCAAACTGATTATGATTCATTTTGGTGAAGCAGAAATGAGACGTTTATCCTTTAACCAACAGCCTGCCCAGCCTAGAAGACATCAGCAGCAAAACAAAGTCATTTCAGAGGTGGAGCGAGTTGCTATTTTAATGAAAGGTCAAACATTTTCTTTATACTGATGTGCACTAATGCAGGGCTCGACATTTTTCGACATCATAATTTATGAAAATACCACATTTAATAACATGTTTTTACTCCAAACTCACTTCATAACGTCAGTCGAGTGTTTGAAATAAATCCCTCTGTGAGATGATGTGGCTTCTTACACAGAATAAGGCACGCAACATATTTAATACTATTCTAAGCAGTGATAAAGGTTATGTCGATTAGCATTGCATTATTATATACTTTATTATAATAAACATTATAAGAAGACGAACTCAGATAAACCATATATTGTTGTATTGTGTGTTTATTAGTCACGTTGAATCAATAAAAGCAGTTAAATCTTCTGTTTATTCAGCAACCGCTGAAATAGGGATTTCCTGGGTTTCTTCTGCGAGGCGTATTTGGAGTTTCTTTGGCCTTCGGATGGAGATTTACTGCTGATCACAGAACCGTGCTTCACTGAAAGATACGCATGAGAACATACAATCACAGCTACTGCCTAATCGCGATTTATCGCCTTTGTGATTTAATTTTGATTAATCGTGCAGCCCTAGCTCAGATGCACAACTGTTCTTCTGTGATCTTTATTTTCATCAGTCTAATATAAGTCACTTAAAATTACTTGTTTATTGAGCTGTTGTATAAAATTAATGTCCCATTTGCTATCGTGCTGATATTTGGGAAAACAGCACTCTTGATTGTGTGGTATTGCTTATCACATGTTATAAATGCAAACTCAACATTTTCAATTTGCTGTTCCGCTCATTTGTTTTGATTTCTCATAGTGAAACCGTGGAGAACTCAACTGATGCAACCGTGTTACTGTCAATACTTTATCTATTATTAGTCGCTGTTTACACTGAATCATTCTCGACAAAGTTTGGTGCTTCCCTCGTAATTTTTTGTTATTGACGTTTTAATCAGGTTATTGCCCCCTCAAAAAAATCCACTTTTCCCAGACGAGCATTAATATCGAGCCTTGACTAATGAACCATTCACAATATGACCAGGAACATGACTCAAATTTCCCATCAACCATCACTTACAGCTGAACTTCAAGCATCAAATTCAAAGCTTTGACATTGATCTTCAGGAACGACACACAACACGTCACAAAGTCGCTTTCCAGAACCTTCACCGTCTCTGTTCCTGAGTGGTGGAATGAGCTTAAACCTCCATATGACCATCATAACCTTCAGAAAACAGCTGAAGACAGGAGAACTAAACTAACTACAGCCATAAACAAAGACACGTGCTACAATGACTCCTATTTAAATTTGAAAAATGAATCTGTATCTTCCTCCTCTGCTCTAGTTTGTGTACTTGATCTAGTTTCCTCTTGCCATCGTGTACTATGATGAACTGCTTGTTCCTCAAGTCAATTTGCATAATGATTGCAAATGTAATGAAGAACTGACACTGCAGGCAAAATCCCTCACTTGGTTGATTTGAACTGTTCAGTGTTTGAGTCGTCAGATCTGTATTTAAAGGAAACCCAACTGTGCTGCTTTGACCACATGCATCATACAGCTTTATGCAGGATCACTGATCCAGATCTCTTCTTGAATGACTTTACACACACAGAACTACACCGATCTCCTTCAGTGTTTCTGCTAAACATCATGCTGCAGGACGCTGTCGGTTCATTGTTCTGAGACGCAGAAAACACAGCGTGACTCGAGTGAAAAAGCCTTTCAGCGTTTGCTGCCTCCTACTTCCCTCTGACAAATCTGACATTTTGTTGAAGACAATGAGATTAAACACAGAACAATGTGAGGGTTTTGCTTAAAGTCACATGACATCAAAACGGACTCATTTACTTCCTTAATTCCAGCTGTTGTTGATTCTATCCAGAATTACTTGGAAGTTCATCAAATTACGGAAGTCAAATGAGTTGTGAATGTTATCTTATGTTGAGCTTTAAATCTAAAGCTTCTCAGATGTTTCTCATGATAAAAAATAAATAAATACAGTAATTTCACGTCTCTTCTAGAGTTTAAATCTCAGTGTCTCAAACCAAGATATGTGTCTGTAATCAAAATCAAGAGATCTCGATGCCTCAGGGAACAAATTTAGGTTTTAAAACCGTTGTGGGAACATTGTTTTAAAATGTTTCTAAAACGTTGAAGTTTCCAGTTTGCTTATCGTGATTAGAACGTTATTAAACGGTTCCAAAAAACATTTTTACAACATTTTACAACTTTTTCACCCAAAATATAACATTGAATGTTTATTTTTAATATTCTAAGAACATGTCCAGTTTTTTGTTATTAAAAGGTTACAAAAATGTTTCTTAGAACGACATAAAAACATTTTGAGAATGTTGTTCTAAGAACATTTTCTCAACATTATGAGAACGTTCAACAAGTGCAGATAACATCAAGACATTCAGAGAAATCTATCAAATATTAATAAAGTTACAAGAACGTTCCCTGTTAGCCGGGACGAACGCAAACATTTCTCATCAGATGATCTGAGCTGCTCCACATTGATTTTATATCTCTAAACTCTTACTGTACAACAGCTATAGACTCCTTCAGGTCTTTTATTTCTCCTGGAGAATATTAGGGCAAAACATCTGAGTTAATATTTCATTTAGACTGAGCAATGCAAGTCTCTTTAGGCATAAAACGTTGTCTCGTGGTCTCTTAATGCCTGTCAAACAATGGCACAGTTTCACACACACACACACACACACACACACATGGTTCTCTGTTAGTCACATACCTGATGTTAAATCCTGCATGTCGTTGGGTTCTGTGTCACTGATGCAGCTGTGTGTCCGTCAATCGCTTCACTTTCACTAGCTGAAGTACTTCAGTCTCACTGTGTCTCGTGTGTGTGTGTGTGTGTGTGCGTCCCTGAGGGAAACTCATTTCTCTTCACGTGTAAAATGTAGCTGGTTCTCTGTTAGTCACATACCTGATGTTAAATCCTGCATGTCGTTGGGTTCTGTGTCACTGATGCAGCTGTGTGTCTGTCAATCGCTTCACTTTCACTAGCTGAAGTACTTCAGTCTCACTGTGTCTCGTGTGTGTGTGTGTGTGTGTGCGTCCCTGAGGGAAACTCATTTCTCTTCACGTGTAAAATGTAGCTCAGTCTCCTTCCCGGAGAGATCAGCACTTGTTCTCCAACCCCTCCCAGCGCTCACCATCTTCCTCTCTGTCTCTGCCTCCTCCTGTTTCTTCCCTTTTCTCTGTTACATCAGTACTGATGGAGTGTTATAGGAATGTTCCACAATCAAACAATACCGACAACACTAGACCAGACAGAACTATTAAACTCACACACACACGCACTCTGATGATTCAGTGATTCTCAACCAGGGGTCCAACATCCACTAGAGGGCCTCGAGATGACTAAAAATGATTGGAAACAAGACAAAACCAAGCTCTAAAATAAGTTTAAAAACCTGAAGATCAAGATAATAAGGTACTTCTTTTTTTAATTGCGTTTTACACCTGGAAATTGTTTGTAAAATATTTTAGAAACATTATTTTCTTGTTTACGGGAACATTCCATTGTATCATTTTGCATTTATGAGAATGTTACTTTTAAATGTTTCAAAAGGTGTAACTCTTGAATTCAAAAAGTTTCCAGAGTGGTTTCAAATGTTGGAACATTTCAAACGTTTCAGGAAAAAAACATTCCATGAATAAAAAATCTCTGAACAAACGTTCCATTGACGTTCATAACTCTGGCAGAACCTTGCCAGAACATTCTGAGAACGTTCCCTGTTATCTGGGTATTTAATACTGTTCCCTTGCGATCGGATCAGCTGAGACGGATGTTAATAGCAGGTGTAAACAGCACCCTCATCGGCTTCAGTTTTTAGATGAGCTGCTACTAACTTTATTTCTTGTAAAGTATTCTGGGCCACAGATCTGTGCGATCTAACCTCAGGGACATACGAGCATCACAAATAGCTCAACGTGGAAAATCTTGAGATCGCTGAACGCAGATCATCTGAGTTCATGGCAGACATCTACTATATGAATACAACACATTGAATGTCATCTGACGAACCCAAAACCAGCCAATTAAGACAATTAGGTGAATGAGCATGAGCAATACTAACAGTGAAGCTTGAACAAATAAACACTCATAATGACAGTGACGAATGCAAACACAGATTAAATACATCATCATCTCTCTTCACACACACTTCCAGAGCAAACTTTTGAATGAGCATGCTGTGCTGGTATATATAGGCTAGTGTAAGTAGGCTACAGCGTGCCGTGTGTCTCTCTCAGGTCCTGTAAATGGGTCACACTGGACACGGTTAAATTGGTTCTACAGGCAGAGCAAAGCGACGAGGTCCAAGATCCAGAGAAGAGAACAGAACGCCACGAGACGAGAAAATATAATCGGGATCAGCTCCAAAACACACACACACACACACACACACACCTTCAGTCAACATTGGTCCACACACACGCTCTATGTCTATCAGGACGTCTCTGTCTGTCTTTCCTCTTCATGCATATGATGCATCTGCACATAATATGATGTTTTATTAACACAAGCTTGTGCTCGTCCATCCATAAAGTTTATCATCCATACAAGGGACAAAATATATTGATTGGACCCAATTACTTTTTTTGGGTGAACTATTCCTTTAAACTTGAGTTTATAATGTTATTGTTATCAGTCCTAAATCCTGCAGGAGCTGCTGTTATATAAGCGATGATGGGTGATGCTGTGAGGAGACGAAAAGCTGCTCCTATGTTGGATCAGCAACATATTTATGATCAGATTTCTCAGAATGAGGCCATTAAAAATATATTCTGATACAAGCACAAGATATTCTAGGTCAAGGGCTGATGTCTTGAGAAAAAGACTCCATTATGACTAAACTAACGCAGATCATCTGAGTTCATGGCAGACATCTACTATATGAATACAACACATTGAATGTCATCTGACGAACCCAAAACCAGCCAATTAAGACAATTAGGTGAATGAGCATGAGCAATACTAACAGTGAAGCTTGAACAAATAAACACTCATAATGACAGTGACGAATGCAAACACAGATTAAATACATCATCATCTCTCTTCACACACACTTCCAGAGCAAACTTTTGAATGAGCATGCTGTGCTGGTATATATAGGCTAGTGTAAGTAGGCTACAGCGTGCCGTGTGTCTCTCTCAGGTCCTGTAAATGGGTCACACTGGACACGGTTAAATTGGTTCTACAGGCAGAGCAAAGCGACGAGGTCCAAGATCCAGAGAAGAGAACAGAACGCCACGAGACGAGAAAATATAATTGGGATCAGCTCCAAAACACACACACACACACACACACACCTTCAGTCAACATTGGTCCACACACACGCTCTATGTCTATCAGGACGTCTCTGTCTGTCTTTCCTCTTCACGCATATGATGCATCTGCACATAATATGATGTTTTATTAACACAAGCTTGTGCTCGTCCATCCATAAAGTTTATCATCCATACAAGGGACAAAATATATTGATTGGACCCAATTACTTTTTTTGGGTGAACTATACCTTTAAACTTGAGTTTATAATGTTATTGTTATCAGTCCTAAATCCTGCAGGAGCTGCTGTTATATAAGCGATGATGGGTGATGCTGTGAGGAGACGAAAAGCTGCTCCTATGTTGGATCAGCAACATATTTATGATCAGATTTCTCAGAATGAGGCCATTAAAAATATATTCTGATACAAGCACAAGATATTCTAGGTCAAGGGCTGATGTCTTGAGAAAAAGACTCCATTATGACTAAACTCGGACTCAACAACTGAATGTGTTTGAGTTAGGACTGCAGGAGCTAATTGATTAAAAATTAATAATTAAAAATGCTGACAAACCTAGTGTGAGAGAGAGAGAGCGAGAGAGAGAGTTTATAGACTGGAGGAGCAGCGGATGTGGGTTTGACCATCATGAGCACTGGAAATGCCTGAAACCAGAGCTCCAGCACAGCTGCTGGAAACCTTCACTGCTTTATAGCCATTATATGGAGACTTTTACAAATACTGAACTAAAATCTCTAAGCCTAAACAACACCCCTATATGCTCAACAAACACCACTAATATCATCATCAGTGAGGCTCTAGAATGACCTGAGCAGTAAGGATTCGCTCAGGGAAGCTGATCTGTTCAAACACCTGGGAACAGGTAGAGCCAGAATCTCACATTACAGACTAAAGACTCTCACGCTCTCAGCAACACTGTTAAGAGCCTGAAAATCTCCATTATGACGTCCATAACTGAAAATATGACATTATTTACTAATCCAGGGATTCCCAAACGTTCTTAGTCATCCGAACCCCTTTGAGCTCAAATGTTTTCTTAAAGTCTCCTTGAGATTTTAAGTTAATATTTCAATAATTTAACAACATATGCACTTTCATGATTTTTTGATGGCAGTTCATTTATTTAGTCGTTGTTTATTTATTTGATAGATTTTCTTTATTTTAAATGTAGTTATTTATTTATTTAATAGACTTATTTTACAACACTACTGAGCGAGGATGAGCAATGTTAAAATGTTTTGTTTGAAAAAAAAATTCAAATGTATACATTTTATATTTTTGTAATCTTTTTTGTCATCCGAACTAATTTGAGCTCAAATATTTTTAATATTTCAATAATTTAACAACATATGCACTTTCATGATTTTTTGATGGCAGTTCATTTATTTATTCATTGTTTATTTATTTATAGATTTTCTTTATTTTAAACCTTTTATTTTATTGACTTACTTTAAACACCGTTGAAGGAGAATGAACACCTAATGATGCTTTTTTATTATTTTTTATTTACATTTTTTATAACTCACAATCCTCCTCCAGCTCCCTCACAAACCCCAGTCTGGAAACTAAACGAATGCAACTGAGGTGCAAAAATTCATCAATCTAATCTTAATTAATGGTCAACGGACAGAGAGCTTGTCCAGTGCGGTTCCAATCAAGCAGCATGCAATAATGCGGTTGTAAACCCCAAAAATGCAAGAAAGTAACTGTATTTAACAGGACTGAGAGCGTATTCTGCTGCTGTGTGAACATTAAGAAGCTCTTCAGCCAGAAACAGAAGGTCTTGCTATAATAAACAGCCAGTAATTAACACAGAGACCTTTATCCACTAATGCCACTATCAGACTATCTGCTCGCGTCTGGACGTGTCAATGAATATGAAACGACTTTGTCTAATCAAACAGACTTCATTAAGGATCAATCCTCATTCAGTGGTTCGTCCCAGAAACACAGCTGATTCGAGGTCACTGGGTCAGTAAATGTCTGACTGAGCATTTGTGTGACATCAGTGCTAGATAATCAATTAATCACTGGATGCCATTCACATGCAACCAAGTCAAATGACAACGTTTATTATAGAATAATGCCTGCGGGTCCATGTGTTATGTTTATTTCTGAACAGCAGGCAGTGTAAGCTAGCTATATTCATCACAAAATCACATGCATGTGCTCTGAACTCGTATAAACCAATGCTCACACCTTTATTTGAACATTGAGCGATACTGAATATCTTCCTACAGCAGTTCCTGTATTTCACACTTGAGCTTTTCCAATGCAATAAATTAATAATAATTAAAAAAATAAAAGCAATTGCGACTTTTTATGCATCTGAAACAGAAGATTGATGTACAGATTTGTGCATTAATTACTGTATATACAGCTGTATAAATAAAAATATGTATATGTATTTACATAATACTTGAGAGAGAGGCAATAATTAGTTACTAAATTAATTACACAAGACAGGTGGCAACATAAAGGACATTTAGCTTGATCTTATATATATATATATATACATGTCTTCTTTATCAACTGTTTACATTGAATGAACCAAGACTTCAACTCATTGCTATTATGCAGCTATTATCTCCAACACAACACTATTAAACACAAGAGTAAATTACAGTAAATATAGACAGGGGTCTGTGGCGATACAAGATATCAAAATACCTTTAAATAATAAACAGTTAATGTCAACAGTGATTAGTTCATGCTAAACTAATGAGGAAGTGTTGCTGTTTACTGTAAACTAAAGGAGACCTTTAAATGTTAAATAAAGCATGATCATAAAGCACACCAATCTGTATTTCATCTGTCTGTCAGATTATCGAACAGAATAATCGCCTGTACTCACCATACTGTAAGCTTTATGATCATCATCCACTGACCGAGCGCTCGCCACTGATACTAAGTAACTGTAGACTCATGAATATTAATTACGTCACGTGACGCGCGTCAAGCGGGCTTCACCGATTGGCGAAACGCCTGGCGCTGGTGGGCGGGCGCTACGCAGATCGCGAATGAACGCGACTGTGTTAAAGGGGTTGGCCTCATGAATATTAATGAGGTTAAGTGACTAGCTAAAAGCTAAAAAGTCTGATTTCCTGATTGTTTCATATTTTATATTATGTTATTTTCCAGGAGTCTACAGAATGCAAATATATAATCTTTGTTTATATCTTACATTGTGAATACCTGAAACCAAATTAAGGATGCACCACTAGGTACAATGTATTTATTTATATTTTTACTTTTGTTTTATTTTATTTGTTTTGTAACTTGTTTTTAATGGTTGCAATGAGGTTCAATGGAAGATTGAGAAATTCAGATGTTTATCTGTTTCAGAACTTTTCCCGGCCTTTTTTACTTAAATGTAAGTCTTTTTACGCACTGCATAGAAAACCTGGAAAAAAGATTTACATTTAAGCCATTGAGCAGACACGCTGATCCTGAGGGATGTACAGAATGTTCCTTGGTTTCTTGAGCGAAGCTGCCATGGATTAATCTAATTACTGTTGAATCACATAAAATACACTGAGAAATCATTCCCTCACCTGTTCTCTCACATCTGATATCAGACCAGCCTTCACACACAGGTGTGTTGTTTATGAGCTCTTCAAATGCTTCAAACACTCGAAAAACTGGTCTAACAAGAGAATCTGTGATGAGCAGCAAGCCAGCAGATTCCAGACGTGCCTGGCCTCCTAGAGTCTTCTAGAAGCCTCCGGGGTTTTCTGGTTCTTGGAGCAGATCTCTGAGAGAAACTGGGCCAGGAAAGGTCTCACACATTTACAAATGACCCTCTCTTCCCTCGTGCAGCAGCGTGTTGAAGTGCTGGTGAGCTCAGAGCAGAGACAGAAGTGAGACCGGCTCTTCATCATCACTATGTCTTGAGTTTCGCTCGTGTAAACAGTGCGGGTTAACAGACTGTGAGAGATCAGACAATGGAATGTCCAGGAATGTCCTAATGTGGGCAAACTAAAGCTATTGTTCATTGTTGTTCCCACCGCAATCAGTCTCCCACTGTTCCAGCGGACATCAGCTAGTGTTTATCAGCTATCAGCAGACTGTGCAGAGCGTGTGAGGTGTATTGTTATATGATGACATATATATATATAGCATGTATGTTGTTGTGTGTGATCTGTAATGCTTGTACCCAGAGAAAGTGCTCTGAAAGTTATGAACAAACATTATTAGTATCAAGTAACATTATTAGAATGTTCGTTCTGTGTTATTAGAATTATTAGAATGTTCGTAATCACGTGTTGCTACTTGCTTTGAGAAAAAGCCATGTTTAGAGAAAACTCAAATGTAACATTCCCATACTGTTTGCAAAATGAGCAAATGGAATGTTCCCTTAACAAACAAACAAATAAAAACATTCTAAGAACATATATTTTTGTGAGCTGGTTATAAAAATAAAAGGAAAATAGGTTTGTATCTACGCTGTAGGATTTACTTTCAAACTATTTTCTTTCATATTTTGCTAGATATGTGATATGATATGATATGATATGTCTAGATAAATGGCAAGTAACATATTGAACTATACATGACCGAAAGACTGAAATTGTATGTTTTTGTAGAACGTACTCCAATGATCTTCTCTCTATCTTTAAAAAAATGAGTTTTTATACTATTGTGAACATTTACTATCATTGTGTTTTGTGTCAGTGTTAATGTTGTTGTTGCATATAATAATAATAATAATAATAATATATCTAACAAGTACACACATACACAAGAAAGAAGAACAATCTTAATCAGTAAGACTGCATTTAAGAGAAGAGAGAAAGAATAAATAAATAAATAATAAGCAAATTATCGTCCTTCTTCCTTAGGACAACATCAAGGACTACAGTGGGGGAAGAAAACAGTTCCTCCATGAAATCTAACAGTATGTCATTTGTTATTATTAAGCTTGCAGCACGGGTGTGACGTAGATCTCGGTGTTGTTTCGTCATCGGCGAGAGCGAGCGCTCAGTGATGGATCAGAATCAGAGCAGCGCAGCGGGCGTCGCTTATAATCAGGATTTAACACACAAGGTAATCATTATTGATCAGTCAATCAACCAAACGCTGAATGTTTGTTTGCTGGTGTTGATATTTCTGTCATCTGTTTGAGGAGATGAGAATACGGGTTGACGTGATGTTCATTCATGTGCTTTGTTTTTGTGATATTTTGTTTCATGTATTCTTATTTGATGGTGATTACAGTGTGTTATGATGTGTTGATGGTAATTATAGTATGTTGTATAGTATAATTATAGTATATGGTGTAGTTATGTGTCTGATAGTGTTGATTATAGTGTGCTATATGATATGTGATGATGGTGATTATAATGTGTTATGTGATGACGGTGATTATAGTGTGCTATATGATATGTGATGATGGTGATTATAATGTGTTATGTGATGACGGTGATTATAGTGTGCTATATGATATGTGATGATGGTGATTATAATGTGTTATGTGATGACGGTGATTATAGTGTGCTATATGATATGTGATGATGGTGATTATAGTGTGCTATATGGTATGTGATGATGGTGATTATAATGTGTTATGTGATGATGGTGATTATAGTGTGCTATATGATATGTGATGACGGTGATTATAGTGTGCTATATGGTATGTGATGATGGTGATTATAGTGTGCTATATGGTATGTGATGATGGTGATTATAATGTGCTATATGATATGTGATGATGGTGATTATAATGTGTTATGTGATGACGGTGATTATAGTGTGCTATATGATATGTGATGATGGTGATTATAATGGGTTATGTGATGACGGTGATTATAGTGTGCTATATGATATGTGATGATGGTGATTATCATGTGTTATGTGATGATGGTGATTATAGTTTGTTGTGATATGTGATTGTGGTGATTACAGTGTGTTATGATGTGATGTGATTATATTGTGCTATGTGATGATGGTGATTATAGTGTGCTATATGATATGTGATGATGGTGATTATAGTGTGCTATATGATATGTGATTATGGTGGTTATAGTTTGTTGTGATATGTGATTGTGGTGATTACAGTGTGTTATGATGTGATGTGATTATATTGTGCTATGTGATGATGGTGATTATAGTGTGCTATATGATATGTGATTATAGTTTGTTGTGATATGTGATTGTGGTGATTACAGTGTGTTATGATGTGATGTGATTATAGTTTGTTGTGATATGTGATGATGGTGATTATAGTATGTTATGGTATGTAATGATGGTGAATACAGTGTATAATGATAACTGATGATTGCAATTGTAGTGTGTTATGATATGTGATGGTAGTGATGACTGTGTTGTGATGTGACTATATTGTGTTATGTGATGATGGTGATAGTATGTTATGGTATATGATAATGTGGTTATAGTGTGTTATGATGTGATTATATTGTGTTATATGATAATTATATAGTATGTTATGGTATGTGATGGTGATTATAGTGTTATTATGTGATTATAGTGAGTTATGACATGATTTACATTGTATATGTGATGATGGTGATTGATTATAGTATGTTATGGTGTGTTGATGTGATTATATTGTGTTATGTGATGATTATAGTATGTTATGGTGTGTTGATGTGATTATATTGTGTTATGTGATGATTATAGTATGTTATGGTGTGTTGATGTGATTCATGTGTTATGATGATGTGATTATATTGTGTTATGTGATTATTACAGAATGTTATAGTATGTGATGATGATGAATACGTTGTGTTATGATATCTGATGATAACTGTTGTAGTGTGTTATGATGTGATTATATTATGTTATGTGATGATTATGTATGTGATGGTGATTATAGAGTGTTATGATGTGATTTACATTGTATGTGATGATGGTGATTGATTATAGTATGCTATGGTGTGTTGATGTGATTATTACAGAATGTTATAGTATGTGATGATGGTGAATACGTTGTGTTATGATATCTGATGGTAACTGTTGTAGTGTGTTATGATATGTGATGGTGGAAATAACAGTGTGTTATGATGAGATGGTGATTATATTGTGTTATGTGATGATGATCATCATATCTCTTTCTCATTAGGGTCAGGTTGCGCGCAGATTAGAGCTGCAGTGGTTTATGTACAGCACACACACACACACACTAGAGGCTGTTTAATTTGTGTGTGTGTTTTAGCCTTGGGTCTCTCGATGGGTTTGTTATTCTCTGTATTCAAGTGCCTGTTACATAACTGAATAAAGCTGACACAAGTCTTTGCTCTAAATAAAGACAGAGTCACAGTGGACTCTTGTGTTTCATTCATCCTTTATTTAAAATCTCAAGAATTGATCTTCCATAAGAGCCAGTTTCCTGACACTCACAGTAAAGCTAAATTATCTGATTGAAAGTTGAATTCATGCTTTTTCCTGATGAGTGATGAATTCCACAGCATCTGTGTTTCTTCCGCCTAATTACTTCCTGTTGGGGGGGGGGGGGGGGGGGGGGG